TGGATGGAGAAGTCGCTGGAGTTTTGGCTGTATCTGATCCAGTGAAACCTGGCGCCAATGAAGTTATTTCCATTCTCAATTCCATGAAAATTAAGAGCATCATGGTGACAGGTGATAACTGGGGAACTGCCAATTCCATAGCCAGACAAGCCGGTATAGAAACTGTCATAGCAGAGGCTCAACCTGAGACTAAAGCAACTAAAATAAAAGAATTGCAGGTATAACAAAATCATTGCCGCAAATAACCCTGTGTCAAACAATACATAATTACACGTCCTTCAAATTTTTTTACTTAAATTCCCTATAACGAAGCCGTCATCTAAGCCATATAACACAACCTTTAGCCAACTTTTCAACAGGAAACAACTAAGAATAAGTCAAGTTACAAAACATGATATTTGAAAAAACAGTGTATGCATTAACAGTGAGACAAATCTTACTCCTGTTCAATCACAAGTGGATACGAACTAAAAATTTATTGACTTTATTGAATCACCTTAAATGTCATATATACTATGGTTTTTTTCATTAACTAACAATGTGATTTTACGCTGATATCACAGAAATTAAACACTTATACTTTCTCTAACATCGTAAAATTTTCATTAAACAATATAATACAAAATTTTATTAAAATATGTTCATGTCATTATTTGATTGGAGAACTTGTGGCAGGCTTCTGGGTACACAGTGGCAATGGTGGGAGATGGCATCAACGATTCACCAGCACTTGTGGCAGCAGATGTTGGAATGGCAATAGGTGCTGGCACAGACATTGCAATTGAGGCAGCTGACATTGTTCTCATGAAGAGCAACTTAGAGGATATAATCATTGCCATTGACCTCGCAAACAAAACTTTCTCTCGTATACGTCTAAATTACTTTTGGGCTTTGGGTTACAATCTCCTAGCCATCCCAATTGCTGCGGGCATTCTTTATTCTTCCACTAGATTTCGGTTACCACCATGGATTGCTGGAGCTGCAATGGCTGCCTCTTCTCTCAGTGTGGTTTGCTCATCCCTCTTGTTGAAGAATTACAAGAGACCTACCAAGCTAAACAACTTGGAGATAAATAGTGTAAAGATTGAATAATCGTTCCATGACCCAATTGCAAATGTCTCCTTTGTTTGTTGGCACTAAACAAAACAGGTAATTTTATCAAACTAGGCATGTATGTACAAACATATAGAAAATAACGCTAGATTTTGAATGTGAAAAAAATGTCCCACCTTTTTTTTAATATTTATTATGGATAAGAATATGATCAATTTTATTTCAGATTAAATAAAAAAAATAAACAAAATCATTAATTCATTAATATTCATTTCATCTATTAATAATTTGTATTGAATAAATATCCTATCCATTCATAATATAATAATTCTAAAAAACTAAACTTTTTTTTAAATTATGTATTTTTTGGAATTTCTAAAATAAAAATCTGTAAAAAAAATTTTAATTTTCCAAAAAAAAAAATTAAAACAAGTTTGAAATTATATTTTTGGAAACTTTTTATATTTAAATTATTTTTTATTACTTAAGTATTGATAAAATTATCCATTATATTTTGAAAAATAACTAATAAATAATAAATTATCTATAATTTAAAAATAGATGAATTTTAATTCAATTTATTTTTTAAATATTTTTATAATAGATGAACTGGATAGATTTATATGTGTATGGATGAGGGATAAATTGTTTGTTTTGTCATTTCTAATATGTATAGTAACTTATTTATTACTAAAATGTGCTACATCTTTTAGTTTTCCAACCCAAAGAGGTCCATGACTTAAGGCCTGTTTGAATTTATGTATTCCCTCAAATGTGATGTTTTGTGAATGTAGGATTCCTATTCAGACGTGAATATGGTGGATATAGGAAATTCTTTAAACAAACACGCATTAAGTGTGAATTTATGTTGATAAAAATGGGCAATTTTTAATGGTAGAGCAGGATAATAAATAGGAGACAAAAACCAACACTACATTTAAAGTGACTGAACACATCAATTTGGTAGGGGCCACAATAGTTTCTTGCAAGCATGCTATTGTATCAAAGGCCATGCTCTCAAAGTTTTGAGATGAAATATAAAAGTTTAAATTAAAGCCCATACAGAGACTGTGACATTAATGGTTTCAAAAAGTCAATGAAGCCCATGACGTTTAGCCCAAATTGAAAGGATCAGCCCATGCTGCAATTAAAGGTGCAATTTATTAATATCTCCCAATCCTCATTCATGCGCTGGCACCTAGCCATCTCCTTTGTCTCTTAGGTGTTCCTGTACTTTCGTTTTCATAAATATACAACATTGTTTTGCTTTTATATATATATTTTACATTGATTATTGTTACTAAAATATCTTAAATTTATAAATAATGAATTATACATAGTCTTTTTCTCTTATAAAGATTAAAAATTTGTAGAATTTATTTTTAAAAATTAAAACTTTACTACTGTTATTATTCTTCACACACTAACAAAATTAATCATTTGTGTAATAAATACGAATTAGTTATAATATCTTATATTTAAGGACGGATAGAGTATTTTTCTAATTAGATAGTAAAATTATATGAATTAATCATCTTTATATGTGAAAAAAAACTATCTATGATAATTAATCGTAAAGTTGTTAAATTTTTTATAACTGACTATAAACACATGTTTTTGAAAAATAAAATTATAATCAAACTTAATTTATATCTTTTCAGGTATCCGTTAATACTAATAGTAGCAGCGGTAAAAAAAACAGACAAGTTTTTTGGTTAATGACTACACAAGCAAAAACTTTTACTGTACTAAACAATACATCATTAATTATTATTTAAAAAAACTCATAAATAATAATAATAATAAAAAGAAAACACTGGGTATCTATGATTACACTATACAAGTTTTAATATTTTAACACAATTCTTATAATTTTTTGGAAGTAGGTAAGCTAAAATAGATTCATAGAAAAGAAATGATAGAGTACTACGAGGCTAGCTGATAGCATATCTGCAGTGTGGGTTGATTGTGGCGAGGGTTGGAAATGAATGAGATGCGATGTGATGTGTGATGTGATGCGACGTGTCATATATAAGATGAAGTTGGGCGCATGTAGCATGTTAATAGCATCACATTACCAGAGAAACGAAAGCTACGAAACTAGAAAAACAAAACAAAAAGGACGAGTCAGAAACTGAACCACGGGGAGTCTTTGTGTTTTGTATCAACCATTGGAGACAGTGCCTGTCTCTGTGTGTTGTTGGCTTTCACCTCTCAGAATTCACTACTATAGTAATGCCAGTGTCACTACCACTGCCATTGTGATCACCCATTCCATTTCTAAGCTCAGTGAACAGTGACCATTGAGCACCAACCACTTCCTCCTCTTTCCTCACTCAAACACACCATTTTTGTTTTGTTGCTTCCTCCTTGTCCCTTCCACACAGTGTAGTGTTCCCTCTTCAACTAACGAGGTATTACTCTTCATCTTAACTAAGCTCTTGCCTCAAGAAGCTCTCCACTACTACATAGTCCATAGCACAAGCATGCTGCTTTTTCTCATTATTTTTTTACCATTCACTGTTTATTAGAGACCCTTCATTTTTTATCTGCATCGTGCATGATGTTGTTGTTTAGTCAAATTATTTTATTTATTTTCTCTTAAATTTGTGAGGTGAGTCCATTCACCCTACGCAAAGCTCATGTGTATGTTCCGTGTTTAATGGATCACTGACTTGGAGCTGCAAAAGCATCCAGTGCCACTAGCTGATTTCTTTAGATGCGTGTACATTAGTAGTTCCACGAGGGTTTTGCACATGATCGAGCTCGATCTATCAAGAGGTAAGTGTTGACCCCATTTTGCTTTTTCTTCTGCCAACCCTTGTATTTGCTTATATTTTGGTAGTGACTAACTCTACTTTTATTTCCAGTGGCTTTGCATTCATCTATTGCTCACTGAACAGGACAAGCAAAGATCTTCTTGAATTTGTTGCTCGTTTAGAGCCCTTACAAATCTGCTTTTCAAGGTGATGTATCAGTTTTATAGCTTCTTCGTTTGTTTCCATTAGAGCTTATGCTTGCCGATGAGAAAATTTTTCCCCTTTCTATTCAATATACTTTTTTATTCCTTTTGTGAAAGAAACAGTAGCTGTTGCATGGTCCCTCCGCTCAAAATAATCCACTCTCATGCATCATAATATTCAGTGGTACATCTCCTGATGCAAGCTCTGTACCTTATTTAAATGTCCCTACTTCCTTCTTTAGCTGGACTGTGTTTCCTGTGGAACTAACAGATTGTTTACTTTGCCACGGCAAATAAAGTGTGATATGAGAATAAGGCATTGGGTTGGCAGTGCTACATGCTTTTTATTTGAGAAAAGAAGCTTTTTCACTTATTAGTTTATTTTCTCCTTTTGTTTCCTGCAAATTTTCCCCAACAAAATGAATTGCTTTTTCAAATGATCCAGAGATAACCAATACTTTTGACCAATATACAATCACTTGTTCTTTCCTCCTGCATCTCACAAAGCTATAATTTATAAGATGGACTATACCTGCACTTGCACAAATCTTTGGCATGATGATAAATATATTCAATTTTATACTTCGATCTAATTATGTTGATTATAAAAATGGTCCATCCTTGTGGCTAGGTTGCTCATCATTATTATAAAAATATTCCTTCGCTGCATGAATGCATGCTTAACCCTGTGTTTGTATAGTATTGCCACACTCAATACCTACCCGGACCAAGGTTAAATCTAATGTAACATATATATTTAGATGTTTCTTTTTATGTATGTCAATGCAGAATATATACATAAACATGCATTTAGTGAATCATGTGAGATTTGTACTCGAATAGTCAAGCAGCTATGTCTCATCGTTGAAATTTCAGTAGTTTTTTCATGACTTTTTTATTCCTCCTCTCTTTGTTGGTATCTACAGTGATCGTGTAGTTCTAACTAAAATCGCATTTGGAAATAGAAAGCTGACCGCCACCTTCAATGATGAACAACTTCAAGTTAGGCGTCGATGTAGTTAGTGCTCACAATCTATTACCTAAAGATGGACAAGGTTCATCCAATGCCTTTGTGGAACTTTATTTTGATGGCCAGAAGTACCGTACGACCATCAAAGAAAGGGATCTTAACCCTGTTTGGAATGAGAGCTTCTACTTCAATATATCTGACCCTTCTAATCTTCACTATCTCTCACTTGAGGCCTTTGTCCACAGCCATTCAAGGGCTACTAACTCCACTTCATTCCTCGGCAAGGTTAGCCTAACTGGGACTTCTTTTGTCCCTTACTCTGATGCAGTTGTCTTACACTATCCATTGGAAAAGCGAGGTATTTTCTCTCGTGTAAGAGGAGAGATTGGCCTTAAAGTTTACATCACTGATGACCCAACCATAAAATCATCTGTTCCAACTCCTGTTGTTGAGTCCATACCAACTAATAATCCAAGCTCAACACATGCAGAAGTTCGGGCACCAATGACAAACAGTTTGCTAAATGAAAAGGTTGAGTCAAGACACACATTTCATCATCTTCCCAACACAAACCATCACCAACACCAGCACCAGCATCAACAGCATTCAACTGGCTTTGCAGATGCTCATTATGTAACAAAGTATGAAGCTGATGAAATGAAATCTGAACCCCAACCCATGAAGCTAGTACGCACTGGTACATCAGTACAACCAGTTGATTTTGCGCTTAAAGAAACAAGTCCATATCTTGGTGGGGGAAGAGTTGTCGGTGGTCGTGTCATTCATAAAGATAAGACTGCTAGTACATATGATCTTGTGGAAAGGATGTACTTTCTGTATGTCAGGGTTGTCAAGGCTCGTGAGCTTCCTGCTATGGATGTTACTGGGAGTCTTGATCCATTTGTTGAGGTGAGAATTGGAAATTACAAAGGTATTACTAAACACTTTGATAAGAATCAGAGTCCTGAATGGAATCAGGTGTTTGCCTTTTCAAAGGACCGGATGCAAGCATCCATACTAGATGTTGTGATCAAGGACAAGGATCTCATCAAAGATGATTTTGTAGGCATCGTGAGGTTTGACATTAATGAGATTCCTTTGAGAGTCCCACCAGATAGCCCTTTGGCTCCAGAGTGGTACCGTCTTGAGGACAAGAAAGGGGAGAAGATTAAAGGTGAGTTGATGCTTGCTGTCTGGATTGGTACCCAAGCAGATGAGGCTTTTTCTGATGCATGGCATTCAGACGCAGCCACGCCTGTTGACAGCACACATGCTATCTCTGCAGTGATGCGTTCAAAGGTGTATCATGCACCAAGGCTATGGTATGTGCGTGTCAATATTGTGGAGGCACAAGACTTGGTTCCTACGGAGAAAAACCGTTTCCCAGATGTGTATGCAAAGGTGCAGATTGGAAACCAAGTGCTGAAAACAAAAACAGTTCCGGCACGAACACTGAGTGCACTCTGGAATGAGGATCTTTTGTTTGTTGCTGCTGAACCTTTTGAAGATCATTTAATCATTTCAGTTGAAGATCGGGTTAGTCCTGGAAAGGATGAGATCATTGGGAGGGTCATCATACCACTGAACGCTGTGGAGAGGCGTGCGGATGATAGAATCATTCATTCTCGATGGTTCAACTTGGAAAAGCCAGTTGCTATAGATGTTGATCAGTTGAAGAAGGAAAAGTTCTCAAGCAGAATTCAACTCCGGTTATGTCTAGATGGAGGATATCATGTTCTTGACGAATCTACTCATTACAGCAGTGATCTCCGTCCCACAGCAAAGCAACTGTGGAAGCCACCAATTGGGGTTTTAGAACTTGGAGTGCTGAATGCTGTAGGACTCCACCCCATGAAAACAAGGGAAAGTAGAGGCACATCTGACACATACTGTGTAGCAAAATATGGTCACAAATGGGTCAGAACAAGAACCATTGTTGACAATCTGTGTCCAAAATACAACGAGCAATACACTTGGGAGGTTTTTGATCATGCCACGGTTCTCACAGTTGGTGTCTTTGACAACAGCCAGATCGGGGAAAAGGGTAATGGTACTTCAAAGGACTTGAAAGTTGGGAAGGTCAGAATTCGCATCTCTACTTTAGAAACTGGCAGGATTTACACTCACTCATATCCATTGTTGGTTCTTCACCCAACTGGGGTCAAGAAGATGGGTGAACTTCACTTGGCAATACGGTTTTCATGCACTTCTTTTGCAAACATGCTTTACCTGTACTCACGTCCACTGCTTCCTAAAATGCACTACGTTAGACCTTTTTCTGTGACACAGTTAGACATGCTACGCCACCAAGCAATGAACATAGTGGCAGCTCGACTCGGTCGAGCAGAGCCACCACTTCGCAAGGAAGTAGTGGAATACATGTCGGATGTGGACTCTCACCTTTGGAGCATGCGGCGAAGCAAGGCGAATTTCTTCAGACTGATGACTGTATTCTCTGGTGTGTTTGCGGTTGGGAAGTGGTTTGGTGATATCTGCTTGTGGAGGAATCCTATCACAACAGTCCTGGTTCATGTGCTGTTTCTCATGCTTGTATGCTTCCCAGAATTGATCTTGCCCACTGTCTTTCTCTACATGTTTTTGATAGGGGTGTGGAACTTCAGATATAGACCAAGGTACCCTCCTCACATGAACACAAGAATCTCACAAGCTGAGGCAGTGCACCCGGATGAGTTGGATGAAGAGTTTGACACTTTCCCTACGAGCCGAAGCCCTGACCTCGTGAGAATGAGGTATGATCGCTTGAGGAGTGTAGCTGGAAGGATTCAAACAGTGGTTGGTGATTTGGCCAGCCAGGGAGAAAGGATTCAGGCACTGTTAAACTGGAGAGACCCACGTGCTACTTCCTTATTTATTACATTGTGTCTTCTCTCTGCGTTGGTGCTCTATGTTACCCCTTTTCAAGCTGTGGCTGGTTTGGCAGGTTTCTACATCATGAGGCATCCAAGGTTTCGCCACAGACTGCCATGTGTCCCAGTCAACTTCTTTCGACGCCTCCCTGCAAGAACAGACAGTATGTTGTAGACTTGCCATATACTGTAGTAGTGGTAGTGTAAGTGACGCTACAAACCTGTTTTTCTCTTTTTTTATCGTTTTATCTGCTATTGTTGAATGTACTTTTATTATATAACGCTATAGTTTGTGATATTTCCTCGCAAGCTCAAGCTGGAAGGACTTCTAATCTGTATGTGGATTGCTTAGCTGCATGCAAATCAGTCAGCCTTGAAATAGAATTATCTTTCTTCTAATGTTTGGTTTTTGACTTGTTCTAGTACATAAAAAAAAGGAATCAAGATCTTAATCAGTATAGATTTTGTGAAGTCCAGATCAGGACAATAACTTTTATCACCTTATTTAGTTTTTCTAAGGGTTGAGAAGAGTGTGGTATATGTGGAGATCAACAATGTTTAACTTCTCAGAAAATCAAATATTTGAACACATGGATGAACGTTAATTGCATTTTGAGTACCAACCAACCACTATAATATGCCATTCTTCTCCCACTGTATTGGGAGCACGACTTCTCAAGAAAAACACTCACATTATTAAAGCGTGTCTGAACGTGCACATCATTATTTAGTCAACACAAGGGAAAAGCACTACGTGTTTGCATGATAAATGGTGTAACGACTGAAAAATATGAATGTGGCAATTGTAGGAAGTCTTGCTTGGCAGAGAATCTGTATGGATTTGATACAACTAGAGATGAGAGAAGTACTTAAATGAGCGAAGTGCTACGCCTCTTTATTTATAAAGGTTAATAACTAAAGAGTGAACTTATTTTAAGGTGTTTGGTAAAATAATATATATATATATATATATATATATATATATATATATATATATATATATATACGTATATATACCAAGTTTCGGATAGACCACAATAATAAAATGTAGAAATTAACTAACACAATAGACAAAGTGAATATACACCATCATTTTATGGGGGTACTTAGAGACATTCGTTTTCTATTTTAGCTAATGATATATATTTTTTAACAAAAATTTATTATTAAATGTTGACTCCATTCCGAAGAATGCTAATTGCATTATGAATGTCAACTACTAAAATATGCCAATGTGTAAAAGTTTCCGGGAGCACAACAGCAAAGAGCATATATATATATATATATATATATATATATATATATATATTTAATCAAGGAAAAATAACTCGTGCTTGCATGATAAATTATTAGGTGAACAAACCATGATTAATTTTCCCTCTACTTTATAAAACCAGAAGTAAGGTACACTGACATTGTTCTCCCCCAGAAAATGGCAGTGTCTGTGTCCAGAAAAAGACTAAAATCATCATCTAGAAATCTAGCAGCCAAACAATCTTACTTTGGCCTGACAATCCTCTACAACTTTCTTAGTAGAATTTCTGCTTTGGTCTTCCTCATAATCCTTATCTACATGTGGTCTTCCTTCTCCACCTTAATAACAGGAAACATCATTCATGTTTGCTTTTCCACAAGGAAGGTCAATAACCTCTATTGTCTGTCTGCAGGTACTCGCCCTTCCTTTGAAATGCCAACTTCCACAAACAATAATAGTTCTATTATTAATCCTGGAACTGATCAGGGTAATGCAACTACTGAACCACTCAAGTTTCCAGATACCCCATATCTGGTTACTACTAGTAGTACAATGGATATCAATGATACAGATGAGAGGGTTGCAAATGCTGTTAAGGTCGTTGAGGAACAATTGCAGGTACATAGATCCTGGAGGTCAAAGTCAAATAAAAACTATGCAACTTGTGATGGTAAAGGAATATATGTGTATGACTTGCCATCCAAGTTTAACAAGGACTTGATGGGTCAATGTCATGACATGGTTCCGTGGCAGGACTTCTGCAGCTATTTGAGTAACGAGGGGTTGGGTGAGCCAATGGCCAATCTTGGCAAAGGATGGTACAAAACTCATCAGTACGCACTTGAACTCATATTTCATTCGAGAGTCTTGAGGCATCCATGCAGGGTTTATGATGAAACAGTTGCAAAGCTCTTTTATGTCCCATTCTATGGCGGTTTGGATATCTTGCGATGGCATTTCAAGAACGTGTCAAATGATGTGAAGGACAGTTTAAGTCTGGAATTGGTGAAGTGGCTCGAGAGACAAGGACCGTGGAAAAGAAATTCAGGTAAGGATCATGTGTTTGTGTTGGGTAAGATTTCGTGGGATTTTAGGAGGAGCAGTGAGTCTCCTTGGGGTACTAGATTGTTAGAGTTTGACAAAATGCAAAACCCGATTAAGCTCTTGATTGAAAGACAACCTTGGCACCTCAATGACATTGGAATTCCTCACCCAACTAATTTCCACCCTCATTCAGACAATGATATAATCTCTTGGCAACTGAAAATCATTAGATCAAACCGCAAAAACCTTGTCGGTTTTGCTGGAGCAGCACGGGCCAATGCAGAGGACAACACAAGGTCAACATTAATCCACCAATGCACTTCATTAGGGAATGGCAAATGCCATTTTATGAATTGCAGTTCTGTCAAGTGTGATGAGGCTGAGTCAGTTATAAAACTTTTTGTGGAGTCTGAGTTTTGCCTTCAGCCCCCAGGAGATAGTCCAACAAGAAAATCTGTTTTTGATTCGCTCATATCAGGTTGCATCCCTGTTCTCTTTGATCCTTTCACGGCTTATTACCAATATCCCTGGCACTTGCCCCATGACCATGATAAGTACTCTGTGTTTGTGGACAAAAAAGAGGTGACACAAATGAATGTGAACGTGGTGGAGAGGCTAGCCAACATTTCGTTGAGAGAGAGAGAAAACATGAGAAGATATATTGTGTATGAACTGTTGCCTGGATTGGTATATGGGGATTACAACGCTGAGCCTGACAAGTTTGAGGATGCGTTTGCCATTGCGATGAATAATCTGCTTGAGAGGGTTATCACATTAGACCAACCACACAAAGATTGACTTTACTGTTTATTTGTTTCACGCTTTCAATACGCTATGTAGTGTTTTGATTTTTCTTTTTACTTTTACGCCTGTTCACAATTACTCACTAACAATACCTGTATCCATCTTTCATCAATAATAAAGTGCCACAATATTTTTAGTTTCTCTCTCCATCTGTTTCTCCTTTTAAGCTTATACATATGAGCACTACGATTTGGAAGGTTCTTTCCAAGTCATAAATGTAATCACGAGAAGGGAACTGTGAATGGCTGATTATGGAGCTAGTGTTTCCAATCATAATAAAGCATTATAGCTCTTCCATTTTTCCAAAGAAATCTATCAAATGCTGTCAGGACTTTGGATCCATCCTCCACAGTAACATGAGGATTAAAAAGTCCAAAAGAACAGGAAAAAGGAAAATGAAAACGAAATGACATACTTGGACATGAAAAATGAACGAATTGTTTTTTTCTAGCTTCCTCGTTTTCTTGCCCTAAGCAGATGGCCCTCTTGTTTTTCTCGTATGGAATAGATTCTCATATTCCATCGCATCTTTGTCCCTAATGGATTTGTTTGACTTTGATTTTAGCGTGAACATTGAGAATATGCCATGCCATTCTTATGATCCTTATTAGTCTAGAAGCTAGTATTACAAATGAATTAGGTTCATCTTTTAACATCAAATTATATTCAATAATCTTAAATTAAAATAACTATTTATTTAATTTCTCATTACATAAATATTTTATAAATATGTTTATGCCAACCAATATTGGTGTTTTGTCTCTTTTAACTCATTTTGCACCATTTTTTTTTTAATTTTCTATTATATCACATATTATTATGTCAACCAAGATCGAGTGTCACTCAAAGGAAGAAAAGAAAAGTGGAAGTAATTATTTACCTTCTCCCTAATGTTCAGTGTGCACGTGTGAAGCCTCCAGAAGTGGGCCTATCTGGTTGTTGTCTCCATTAATTGATTATTAACTCTCTTCTTGTTGAGTTGCATCATTTTCTATCTTTCAAGCCGTTTCATTCATCTCTGGTTGAATTCTGAGCATACCATCTTCCATCCTTCTCATTTTCATCAAGAAACCCTTCCAATTTCAAACACTCCCAGAATGACTAGCCAATCAAGAACTAAATCATCAGTTCATGATTTCACAGTTAAAGTATGCTGCTTCGATTTTCTTTTATAAATAAATCCCTTGAACATCATGGATTCATTTAATCATTACCTTTGTTTGCAGGATGCCAGGGGAAATGATGTCAATCTCGAGGTTTATAAAGGAAAAGTTCTTCTCATCGTGAATGTTGCCTCACAATGGTAGGTACTTCGATCTCTGGGGATAATATATTAGTAGCTCCTCAAGCAAATAGCAATTGACCAATATAAGAAACCTCTATGCACTTTTTTTACCCTTCAATTTTTCTTCCTACAGTATGCCTTGTAGTAACATATTTTGATGTTCAATATTTGATGCAGTGGCTTGACAAATTCAAACTACACAGAGCTGAATCAATTGTATGAGAAATACAAAGGGAAAGGTATGGTTTTATCATCTTTATTTCTGATGTTTGATTTGTATATATCTTTGTATGCGTCACCTGTTATGGTTTTATCCTAGTTCATGATTCATTATCTTCCTTCAGGCTTGTATTCACCTTACCATGGATAGTGTCTATTTCTAGGATCAAAAGACTCTCTAATTCTTTCATGTAGGACTTGAAATTCTGGCATTCCCGTGCAATCAGTTTGGGGCACAGGAACCAGGAACTAACGAAGAGATAGTGGAATTTGCCTGTACTCGCTTCAAAGCTGAGTTTCCCATTTTTGACAAGGTAGGTGTTGTACTTAACTGTTCTCTTCTCACTGGTTTCGTTCAAGAATCTTTTTGAAAGAATTGGAGAATAGATCCCAATTTATGAAGGATACCAAACTGCAAACTGTCTTGTATATGGTAATGATGGAGTGTTTCATATTTCAATATGTACTAGTAATATTTTACTCAAATAATTCGTACATGATTCTAATATACATAGGTGGATGTGAATGGTGACAATGCTGCTCCACTGTACAAGTTTCTGAAATCAAGCAAAGGTGGAGTCTTTGGGGATGGTATCAAATGGAACTTCTCCAAATTCCTTGTTGACAAGGATGGGAACGTGGTTGACCGTTATGCACCCACAACTTATCCTCTCAGCATTGAGCAAGACATAAAGAAGCTGCTAGATGCATGATGGAGTGGCCACTAAAAGAATAAGTGATTTCAATATCATCATGAATAAGAAATATTTTGCAGTTATAAGTGGAATTTCCACTGTATTTCTACTTCTACATGTACCTCCCAATTACTTGTTAATCTTTATAAAATTACGTATCAAATTGTGACTAACAACCATCAAATAAGTTGATTATTTAAAATCTTAAATTGAACTTTCAGTTAATGTTTTTTTTTTTTAACCCATGATTCGGTTTTTGAATAAAACATATTACTCAATTAGTTTTTTAAGTCTCAGAATTATCGGTTTACACTAAAACTATGGACAAAATTAATTAAATGTTAATTATATTTTTATTCTTTTGTATTTTTGTGAAAATTATTTTAGCTGCTTAAATATTAAAAGTTAATAAATGAATCCTTAAATTCTAAAAATATTTTAGTTTTTTACTTAATTTATAATAATAATAATAATAAATATTAAATATCAAATTAAGGTATAAAGAATTATTAAAATCATAATTGTTTATTTGATCATTTATTAAATATAAAGAATTATAATTAAGTTTTAAATCTATTTTTTTGATTAATTAATACGGTCAACCATTTTTTTGAATAAATAAAATAATATTATAATACTTTCTTCACAGCCCTATGAAAAAAAAAACTCTATAATCAATTATGTGATTTCTACGATAAATTGTGAGGTTTTCTAAAGTAATATATAATAAAAAATATAAAATGATTAATTATACATGCAATGTAATTAGTTATCTATATTTTTGTGTTCATCTTTACGCAAAAAAAAAAAAAAATCAGTGTGAAAAACTGCATTCCTCAATTTTCCACTTTTTATGCGAAAATAAAGGAGGAGGACAGTGCTTTCTTTATATACAAGTGCCCCTCCTCCCCCTCCTTGGACCAAACGTAATTTTAGAAAAGAAAAAAGATATTTTGATACTACTATTCACACAAACAAGCATGTAAACAGGATTATTTTTTGGGTTGTTTTTTTTAGTTGTCAAAAAATCATCACCCTTTAAAAAAGACGTTCGCAAAAACTATTATTATTTTACGTACGGAATGTTTAAGAGAAATAAAGTCGTACCTCGAATACGACAAGAACCCCGCCACGTGTGCAATTATTAGTGGTCACACATTTCAAAGCTCAAAGCTCAAAACTTAAACTCGAAGAGTTTATGGGCTGTACTTCCCTTTTTCCGTGTTTCTTCCGTTCCTGTTCTCGGCGTACACACAAGATGAGCACCAAATCCTCCAACGATGCAAAATCTGTGTACGACTTTTTTGTCAAGGTTCGTCTTCTTACTTCATCTCCGTCTATGTGTTGAGTATATTTGGATAAAGTAGCACTGTTACCTATTATTTTGAAAGTCAAATACTCTTTTTTTTTTTCTTTGTCAGCATTCCAGACTAAACATGCAAGTAGTAAATGTTTCTCTAAGTAAGCCTTCTATCATTTCTCCAAAATATTCTAACCAAACCATTATCTCTTTAAAAGAAAAAGAGTATTGAGAGTGAGCCTTATATCCGGGGTTTATCTAGAAAAAAAAAAAAAGCAAATAGTCTATGCGTTTGAAGATTAAGAGTGTTTAGTGTTTGGTTGTAAAATTGTTTTTGAAGCGTGTGATTTATGATTAGATACTTCTACTCGAGAAAAAGAGTCACTGGCAAAAATATATATAATTTTTTTATTTAACACAAAATCCTTTTATTGTTTCTTCAACTCAATTAATTTTAGACCTAGATATAATTCCTTAAAGAATATTTTATCTGAAAATCGTAAGCTGAGTGTTTATGTGTGCCCTAAGAACACAAATATCCTCTACAGGTGATAACTAAAATTCCTGTTTCAATCCTTCCATTCACTTGCAGGATGCTAAGGGACGTGTTGTAGATCTCTCCACTTACAAGGGAAAAGTCCTGCTGATCGTCAATGTTGCTTCTAAATGGTATCCTTAATTTGTGTTCTACTTTTACTTGTTACTTCTTTTTTCCATCAATTGTGCTTCTATTAAATTAAAGCCTTGATATTTTCATTTTTTTTTCCTAGTTAATAACTTCTCAGCAGATTCTATTTTCTGTTTGTCATTGACTTTTCTCACTGGTAATCAAATGTTGAAATATTTACAATTCTGGTTTCCTTTTCTGATTGAGACAGCGGCTTGACCAACTCCAATTATGAAGAGCTGAATGAATTATATGAGAAGTATATAGACAAAGGTTTGTATTTGCATTAGGCCCTTTTACTGTTTCTTTTCTTGTTTGTCATTTCCAACTGTAACTATCATAAAATAACCTTAGGATGATCAATCTGTGAATAAATACGTTTCTGTCTCCTAGTGGGATGCCTCTCTCCCTGTGAGATTTTACAGTTTTTGGCTCGAAGATCTTGCATCGATAGCCTTACGCGGCCGCCATGATTTTCGCATCCTTCCCGCATTATGTCATGGCTAACGATATCGAGGGTACGGCAACACATTTACAGGCTGTAGGAATGGACGAAGACGAAGGTGAGATGGAGATCCATATTGAAGAACAGAAGGGTACTGGTGTGAACGGTCCCTGTGTCTGGTCGGGAGGTTCCTGACATATAAACCCATAAGAGCACACATAATGAAGGACCGTATGGCAGAAATCATGTACCCTAGCAGAGGGGTTGCTATTAAAGAAGCGGAACCAGGGATTTGCTTATTCCAGTTGTTCCATCTCAATGATGTTAAGCGATTCCTTAAACAGGGATCCTGGTTGTCTTGGGGAAGATGCAAGAGGGCGACAACCCTACTTAGGTTCCTCTATTTACGATTTTGTTCTGAACCCAAGTCCACCAACTCCCAATAGGATTCATATCGAAAACGATAGGGAAGCATTAGGCAAATTTTATTAGAGAATTTCTAGAATGACATGCATAATACTTCATGCTTTTGGAAAAATGAAGCGCAAATCCGGGTGTTGGTGCATGTGCGCATAAACTAGGAAAGGTCCAAACAAACAAAAAAATTCAGGAGGTGTTCTTTAAGTGTGAGAGGTTAGGACCGTTTTGCGACTTGTGCGGGCTGTTGGGGCATGTTGACGCTTATTGCGAGAGATTATTCTCCGTGCCAAATGATGACGCTTAATGGGGCCGGAGTTATGTGCCGAACCTAGAGAAACTAGTGGCACAGGAGATTTCAAGATGGCTAAGAGATGAAGCCCAAACAGAGTAGACACCCCTGGGTAAAGCCCGAACTGACAACGGGAGAAGGACAGAATACGAGGCTGATGAACAAACAAAGCATAGGGGGGAATCCAAATCAGGAACCCATGATGGATGATAGTTTTCAATAGGAAAAGGAGCTCGAGGGTGAGAGAAGAGAAGGCGAAACGAGGAACAGTCTGGTTGCATGGCAGATTCATGAAAGCGAGTGCAAGGCCATGAGACACAATAGGTAAAGCAATATTTTTTAACGGCAGGCCCTAGCATCAAGGCCTGCCAAGGATTTCGACGATTCTTAGCTGGAACTGTTGGGGCTTGGGTAACCCTGAGAGCAGTTCCGTCTCTAAAGGACTTGTTTGGAAACATAAGCATGCCGTTATTTTTCTGTGACACGTTGGTGAAGGCAACCAACATTTAGAATCTCAGTCAGATTTACTTTTGCCGTTGCTAGAATGGGCAAGTGGTGGTTTGGCTATTTTATGGGGCATTAACATTAGCTTGCAGACTAAACAAGCCATTAACAAAATCCTGGGAGTCTCGAAATGTTTGGGAGGAAGAAAAAGGCTTTGTTCAACTTCCTTAAAGACAAGGTCTGGAAGAAGGTTAATAATTGTGCTTGCGAGATCACGTTGGGCATTTAATCGAAGCAAAATCTCTATACTCTGAAGGTAGTATACCACCGGTGGAGGTGGAGGCAGTGACAAGCAAAAAAATGTTATTTGAGTTTATATCATTAATATTAACTAATGTTTTTCAAACGACAAAATTGACCTATTAATTCATCTCTTCGTGCTGATAATTTTCCCCCATGGTAAACTTGTGTTGGGGGATGAACCCTGTTTTGGACATTGATCTTGTGATACATTACTCTAATAATCTTTGTTTCTTTTGTTGTTTCAGACATATTTTTAATTAAAACAATTGACTAGGTTGTTACTCTTAGGCTTGGAGATTCTGGCATTTCCGTGTAACCAATTTGGTGAGCAAGAACCAGAAAGCAATGATAAAATTGTGGAGTTTGTCTGCACTCGTTTCAAATCTAAATTCCCCATCTTTGATAAGGTAAGAAACTTAAATATTGCATGCATGACTCGTTAATTGTACAAAGTATATGACGACTGCTATTCTTGTAAATTTTGCTAAGAACCGTGACATGCACTCATATTGTGTGTGTGTGTCTCTCTCTCTTTCGTTCTTGTGGTAGATTGAAGTGAATGGGCGCAATTCTGCTCCTCTGTATAAATTCTTGAAGTCCGGCAAATGGGGAATTTTAGGTGATGATATCCAGTGGAACTTTGTCAAGTTTTTGGTTGATAAGAAGGGACAAGCAGTGGATCGCTATTATCCCACGACTTCTCCTCTCAGCCTTGAGGTAAGAACTAAATTATTCTTCAAACAACTTCATATGCTGCTTCCATTGTAATTCTCTTGCCATCTTTTTAATTGTAATGCAGAGAGACATCCGTCAACTTCTTGGTATTTCGTGAAGGCAACTCGAATGTCTTGTCTTCCTCAGTTCCTTAACATACTTGTCTCGAGGCAATTTATGAAATTTGCACAAACTTATGTTATACTTAAAACTTAGGATATAATGTTTGTCTTCTTTACTTTCTTGTTTCCTTCAATTTCATATCCATCATTCTCCCACCTTAATCCATATTCCTCGTTAGTTGTGATATAGAAACTTAAAAGTACAAAATTAACCTTCCTCATAATTCACTAGGACGTACAAAGCACCGTTTTTTCTGAAGGAAGCACCATGCTCCTCAAAATCATATAAATGGCGAAAAGGAGTGTTAATGTTCAAGTCATGGAAATTTTTATTTATAGAATTAAATAACCAGCCTTCAAGGTATGTTTTTAAACGGAAAAATGATAGTTCTACGACCCAGTTTTTTAAAACAATCATTGGACAACCCACTTATAATAATATAATAATTGAGGAAAAAACTATTTTGACATGTGTCAAACATCCAAACTATAATTGTTTTTAATATTATAATAATTTTAAATTATTTTTATTTTTATTAAATCTTTTTATAATTATTATATTGATAAAAAGAGTTGCTTTTAAAGTTGTTTTTTTATAAGGGTTGTCAATATATTAGCCCTCAATAATTAATAATCCACTTAATTATTATAATTAATAAATTGTCAATTCATTTTGAAAATTGAAATATCAAAATATCATTACTCTTTTAAAAACACAACCTTTGTATTGTACAACTATTGTTATATAGCACATTGCATTATACCTATACACTTTATTTGTTAATATTAATAAAATTAATAAATTATTTAGTGGATAATTTGTTCTTACCAAAATATCTCTACACTTTTCTCTATTCCAATATAATTGCATTCATAAATATTGTAGTGCAACAAAAAAAGATCAATAAGTTTTTATTAATGGCAATGTTGAAGTAAGTTCATAATTATTGCATTATAAGAAATAAATGAGTCAATTGATAAAATCTATCAGAATGCATACACCACAAGATTAAAGGGGAGTCCACATTATAATTTTAATCATACGAATAGATAATTTGCCTCACAGACTATTTAGGAGCAACCACAGTACCTTTAACCGAACCTCTTGCACGAATCTTACAAGCAGTTACTAGCCAATCTTTTTCCTAAAGACGGTTATGTGGGTTGGATTGCACATATTCCTGATGCTATGCTTGATTCCTAAAAGCACAGCATATCCGTTCTTTATAAATAATCTGCCGAAGGCTTAGGTTAATCGTAAACAATTTAACTAGAACTAGTTGAGACAAATTAATTAGAGAGAAATAACCATTTAATGCTTGGAAACAGAACTAGTAAACAAAATGTGAGAGCTGAGGTGACATCCAGGAACGAGGGCTGAAATTATCATGTCATAATAAGCGGACATCAAAATGAGATCCTAACCAGCACAGGCTTTTAACTTGATCTAGACTATTTTGCCTTTCACTTCAAACACCTTTTGCACAAGTCAAGAATGTTACTTAACCCTGAAAATCCATTGGTTACAGCATAGGTAGGTTAGCAATAATTTGTCACCCATAAACGGGGATAGCAAGAGTCACAATGCTCACAAATTCGGTTCATTTACAACAAGAGATTTCTATACAAAACTGCAATGCCTCTTGTAGAATTATAAATGTTGTTCAACCACGCGTCAAGTCAATACCAGTGTGTGGATGTGCACTTTTCACCTCCAAAGGCCTTGATGAAGCAGGCCAAATGCCTGTGGCAGGAGAAGAAGACGTGTAGTTTTGATTAGGAGGAGCACTGGCTGGAGAAGCTAACTTGTCACTACTCTGAGGTTCAGAACTGCTGTCTTTTATAGCAGTAGTGGTCACTTGTTTAGTCTTTGGCTTAGAGGTTCCATATACAAAACTGCATACAACCACCTGCACCAAGCAAGTATCAAATTCTCAATGTTTTGGGGAAGGTTTGAATCTAAAGCATGTAAAGATGGACAAGAAATTAAATATTTAGTAGGCTTAAAAGTTTTTATTCCACTGCTTCCACCCCACTCAGAATACACCCTCCAGATGCTTATCTTATTGTTTTGGCGTAATATCTTGAATGACCATGCAGCATGCAAGTAGAATAAGAAAAATTAAGTACAAGAAATAGAGTTGGGACAATTAAGAATATACCTGCACTGGGCTTGCAGCTATAAGGCTAGCAACACCACCACCAATAATGTGACCATCAGGACTAGAAAGGGAGACACTCATGCCACCTATTCTACTGCGTGGTCCACCTTCTTCAGCAACCAAGTAAGAACCAGACAAGCATAATATTTGAAACCGGCCCTGTTAAACGCAAAAGATAAAATGTTTACTATTGAATCATAATAAGAACAAACAACCTAATTCATTTTAAACAGTACTCAATCTCATTAGCCGTAGCATTAGGCTGAGTTTAACATATTGCTATAACAGAATTGCTATCATTAACCCCTTTTTTCTTGAACAGCACAGAACTATAACTCAATCAACTTGCTACATAATAACTTGTCACTAAGATAGAAACATGGAAAAGAGATAAAGATGAAAGGATACTTATTATTTAAAATTTCTTAGTAGTGGAGGTATGTATTGTTCAGTTCTTTAACCTCATAAGAAACACTGACGTTAGTAGAAGCTGGGTGGCGCAGACTGACAGAAGAAACAGTCCCAGTTCCAGTTAAGATGCATAATGCCCTTGGTCTCTGCTGTGAAAATGAGAATAACTTTGCTACAATGTCCTGAAACAAAGAAAGTATATATATTCAAGGAACATTTAATTAAAGTTCAATGATAAATAACAATCTTGAAGGTTTACATGATGAATAAGCAACAGTATCTATTACTTAAAGGCTGAAACTAAAATTAGATGCTTCCATTAAATATCATCATTTTTATATCCAATCAGCAACCACATTGATGTGTGACGTAATCTTCAGTTTATATGCCATTGACAATCCCAGACTATGAGACTACTCAATCCGTGTGTGCACTCGGAGGTAGCAATTGCCCATCCATGAGACTAACATGCCATGGATTGTAAATTAAATTATCATATCAATATTACAACAATAACAGAGAAGCACCCTAAAATTTTAAAAACAAAGTATCAGTTCTAAATTACTTTTTATCATTTTTTAGTGTTTACATGAGGTACAGACAACTGACCACATCATATCTCAAATCATCAAAGAGAACTTTTTTGGTTGGGCAAATCTTATTTTCATCATGTTGATGTCAGCAAATACTTAAAGAGTTACGATAATTTGAAAAACCCAATTTGAGCTTAAACATCTATATATTTAAGATATTAAAAGAAACTAAGAGAATTCAGCAAGTGATAGAAAACTATATAGCTCTTATGAAATACCTCCCCAACTCCAACAGTGATAACATGAGGTGAAAAGGCCAATCCTGCAGAACTGTTCATCCATTCACCTAGGAAAAGAAAAATAAAACCACTGATAAAGTTTACACATTTCATGGAAAAATTGATAAACATGGCATTTTGAATTACTACTATGAGTATCAAAATAATAGAAACGAAACAATTTCATCAGAGAGGAACGGGTAGTGCAAAACTAAGTGTTTTAGCTTTTCATGATTTCTGAAATCCTTGGAGTGAAAGTAGACCAGAAATTTGAATCTTGCAGTCAGCACATAAGATCGATATTAGATCATGATGTTGCTTTTGTTAAGAGTAAATGTTTGACAACATGATTTTTTTTTTCAAAAGCTGTCAGGAAGCAAGACAAAAAAAGGAATGTATTTTTTTCAAAGAAGCAGAAGCAAACACACTAATTGCCTCAGTACAACCGATCTTGTAATTGTTCAGAAGATCCACATATTACAATGACTAACAATTCAGCTATTTCTGAAGCAGGATTTAGAACTAAGAAGTAATGAGATAACAATAACTTGGAGTCAAGGACCACAAAATAAAGCACAATAATGGCAAAAAATAGAAAAATATTCCAAACAGAAAAAAGAAAAAGAAAATAATAAAATAGAAATTGCCACTTCAAACAAAAAAGCATGTAGAAATGGAAAAATACAGTACTCATCCACGACCTCTCTTTAGAATATTACCAAAGACAGCAAAATGAAAACCCAAAGTTAAAATGTTAATCATAAAGTTAAACAGCTGTCAATTTTTGTTATCACCAAATAAGCATAAAATCAGATTTTAACAGCCTTGTAGTTTGTTATACATGTACGCATATTTTATCATAATTTCCTCCATTGATTTTCTCAGATAAAATTCATGACATGGTCTGTTAAAGATGTTTAATCGCATTGCTTTGATCCCCAATTTTGTTTCATCCATAATCTAAAAGGATGAACTTAAAGGCAAGTTGAACTCAATACGAAAAGCTTGAACTTGTCAGCGAGCTGTCAACTTCAGGGCCAAAGAAACAAAGTAACATCTTTTAGGGACCTTATCAAGAATTATTACCACCACACTTTTCTCTTTCAAATGATAGTTTCACTTTTGAGAAGCTGAACCCCAATATCAGCAGATCAAGCAATCAACAGGAAATTATAATTTCAAACTAACATAATTGTAAAAGTACCTAGGGTAGCAAGCTGTTGCTTCCTTCCACTTCCAGGTGGGCGCCCTCTGGGCCGTTTCTCGGCAGGAGTGCCCGATCCAGGGGTGGAATTAGCAGTGGCAGACAAGGGAGAGAGTCGCAGGGAAACAGTCCCACTCTCAGGACCATACTTCCTTGGCCTCCCTCTTTTCTTTTTCAAAGGCTCACCGGAAGAAGGCATTCCACCTCCACCATCAGGTGAGGAACCTAGGTTAATTCCGTGACCAAAACCACCACGCTGAGGCTGAGACTGCGACAGAGGCTGAGGCTGAGGTTCAGCCTCTACGGAAAATGTAGAACCTGAAGAGACATTTGACAAAGCTCTGAACCCAGAGGGTGGTTGGAACCCAGAGGGTGTTCCAGTTCCAGGACCAGATGCGCTAACCCCTCCTCCTCTATGCTGCATGTAGTATGGAGCAGAGCCGCCAGGAAAAGCCATACCTTCTCGTCCATCCATGCATTTACCAACAGGTTTGTCAATCGCGAAAAATGATAACTTCTTCTCCTCAACCCCAAATCCTTTCACTGGTGCAAACCTCTTCAACCACGAAACCAGTGAAGACACAAAAACAGGGGTTGAGCAAGGTTCTCTTGTACAAGTCAAAAGCAAATAGCTTTCGCAATGATGGAAAGTTTAGATCTTTAACCCTAAATCAAATAAGAGAGAAGAGGATCTAAAGCCAAGAAGCTCCAGACATTCAAGCACATAGACTTTGTCAAGTGAACACAAGAACAGTTAGAGAAGGGAAATGTAGAAAAAATCAGAGGCTTAGATAAAAACTAAACTAGCAAGATGGGAGTCAAGTTCCGGAATCATATGCGTGACAGGTTACGAAAACAAAACCCTAGATTTTCAAATCTAGGGTTTTGACAGAGGAATGCAGTGTGAGTGAGGGGTGGAAAAGGGGAAGAGAAAAGACAAAGAAGGGGACTTCACTTGGGACTTGAGAAGAGAATGGAAAATTAAAATAAATAATAAATAAATAAGTCAAGAGATGGCATTTGAATTAAAGTGGCTAAGCCAAGCGCGTGTGAAAATTGAAAGGAAAAGGATAACTCTATCTATCTGCATTGAAGTCAATATTAGTATTATAAATTGCTAAAGAAAGATGAATAGTAGCAGTTAAGGAAGAAGAGTAATGGGAAAGGAAGAACAGTGGTGTGAATTTGGAGGGACAGTGTGGGACCCACCAAAGTACCATACACAGACCAAATGCCCCTTTTCGTATAAACCAAGGGTCAGGTCACCACCCCCTTGGCCTTCAGGAATCAACCCTTATCTTTATAATAATATCTTCCCTTCTTTATTTCAAGTTTACACTTTATGCCATATAAAATTATATTTCTAGTCACTCATTTTAATTTTAATGTCATATCATTTTCAATTATTATTAATTCTTTAAATTACTAAAATCCGTATTTAATTATCAATGCAATCACTTTATTAATGAAACTAGTTAAAAATAAGTTCCATAGATTTATTAGATTAATAGTTTATTGACTTATTTTTTTTTTTATATTACACCAACTTACCCTTTATAAGGTTAAAAATAAATTTCGATGTAATATATAAAATTATTTGTACACTAATGATTTGATTTATGTAATTGCCCTTTTAATATCGTAATAATTCTTTTATGGTAATTAATTTAAATTTAATAAATTTGTCTTTACATGCTGAGAAAGATAAGGAAATATACAACAAGTTTTGTATCTTCAAAATTGAAGAGAACTAAATTGAAGGATAACTGGTCACGAGTGTAAATAATAATAAAAAAAATCGATTTATAAGACAACGATAATAAATTATAATAAGCCTATAATTGAGATTTTTTTTACTTTTTATAATAAAAAAACTAAAAATATTACATAATAATAATAATAAAAATATTTAGATTTTTTATAATAAACTTATATAATAAATATTAACTGAAAAAAGTTATATTTATATTTATTTATTATTTTTTTTACTTGAAAAATTTTGACAATTGATTAAACTATATGTTTTATATTCTCAAATTAATCATAATTATGTATTTATTTATTTTTATTAATCCAAACAACATTACTCAATCAATATCTTATCTATTATATATCTATATATCTTGAAAAGTTTCATATTATCTAAAATAAGTAGTTAATATTAGTTACATAGTGGACTTAAGTTCATGATATTATGATATTCTTGTAAAAAAAATATTTTAAATTTGTATTTAATTTTTCTTAAATTATTATTTTAAAGAAATGTGATGTATTGGGAGTTAAATGGTACGAGAAAGTAGTATATGTGTTATAAAAAAATTATATAATATTATTCTTTTATTGTTATTAGATAATGATAATGATCATGATTTTTTCTTCGATTTAAGAGTTCTTATGTTATATTGTTGTGTTAATTATTTTTTTATCTTATTTCTTTATTAGTATGATAATTCTTAAAGATAAAGACGTTGATGTTTTTCATGATGTTTTTTTTTCATCAAAATGGTATCAAAACTTATGGTTTAATAAAATATTCTTAGTATTTTCTCAAGGAAATATTCAGTTTTTGTTGTTAGATAATCATCATTGATTGCTAAAGTTGTAATATCATTAAGTGTTATTAAATGTGACAAATAAATTTGTTGGAATATCAAATTTGACTTATGATAAAAAGTTAAATATATGATGATACAATCTAGATTACATAATATGTTAAAAGGAATATCTTTTGACATGAAAAATTATTAGTTTTTTCTAATAGTAATTGAGTATAATAATTAGCTTATATTGATGAGGGTGTGTGGTAATTATACATGACCATTTATTAGCATTGATGTAGATGTGCAGTGAATTTTTTTTTAATAGTTTAATTCAAAATGAGTATATTTTTTATGGTAAAATACAAATAAAATGAAAATAAAAATGAACATGTATTTATTTTAAGAATAGTAGAGATTATTAGTATGATAAAAATATTACATCTTTAAAAATTTTACATCACTTACAATAAATAATGGAATAAACGGTAGGATAAATAATAGAATAAACAATAATAATTATATAATAGACTTCAAAATCTGTTACGTTTGAACATCTTAGCTAAAAATGCTTTAATTATATTTGACTTTTTTTATATTATTATATTAAAGTATTATAAAATTTAATTTAAATTCTTATTTTAAAAAATGTGAGTTTATTTTAAATTAAAAAGCATGAAAAATTAGTATGTATATTATAATTTCTTTTACGTAATATTATATTATATTATGATTATCATTGGATGATGCCATTTTTATAGTTTTTTCAAATTATGTTATTGTATTAAAAAAATTATTTTTTTATTTTAAGACAACTTTTGGAGATAAAAAAATTTGATGCGAGGATGATTATATTTTTCATAACGTGTTGTTCCTAAACCCTAAATCATGAAACATCCGATGAATCACCGATTCTATTAAATATTGGAAACCAAACCTCGTCATTGTTTTTATTCTCCAGTTACCAAAAAACTGCATCAAAATACAAGTAGAAATCCTTGAGCTGTAAGAAAGTAAAAAATCTTAAATCTTTATCCTTCTTTTACTTTCTTTACAAAATTGTTTGCTGATAGGACTTATCAAAATATTCTATTAAATTATTATACTGTCAGAAATAATAAAAAAAACACTCATAATCATGATTTTTAAAGCATATTTGATCGAAGTTACTTATAAACAATACATTTTCACTTCAAACGATGTTATTTTTAAGTAATTCATGCTAAACAATTTCAAGTATAATTTTTATAAGCACTTATATTTTTATTTATATTAACATCTTAAAAAATAATTTATTATTATAATTAAATGTTTATCTAATATAATATTTTAACATAAAAAATATTTAGAAAATTCACACATTTATTTTGATAGTATAAAAATATTGTATATTAAAAATAAAAAAAATTGCATAATAAAAAAAATTAGAAATAAAAACTATAGATTATATAACAATAAATATGCATTATTTTTTTAATAGAAAATAGTAAAATTTACATTTAGAAATAAATATTATTTTTTATATATACTGATTTTTAATCTTTTAAAAATATTTTTTTTATAAAAAAATAAAAGTATTTTTATAATATTAGATATGATGAATATTTAAACAAAAAAAATTATTTTCAAAATTTCAAACATAAAGTAATAATAATAATAATAACAAAATAAATATTTTTTAGACCATTAAAATAAAAAAATTTCCACAAATAAAAATTGAGAGGTTTATAACTATTAAAAATATTCAGACAAATAAAAAATCGGACGATTATTTATTTATTCGTCGTTTTTTTTTCAACCAACGTTACTAAAAATTAATAAACTCTCCCACGTAAATTAATTCCTGTTGCTTACAATATACACATACTCCTGGTATATCAACAGTACATAATCATTTTAAGTTCATATCCAAATAAGATATTTGGATTTTGATATTGTGTTAATAATCACGCACTCAAGTATTTTATAAAAAAAATGAAAAAAAAATCCATAAATTGAATTTTAATAAACTAATCAATTTGAATATTTTAACAATCTCTTAATTTTGAATTATTCATAATATAAATGTTTTAAAACATAATTTTATATTACATAAATATTCATTTAAAGTAATTTTGTTAAAATTATATATTTTATTACATTAATGAATAATATAATTTTCATAAATCTTAAAACAATATTTCAAATTTATTATTCAATTACTTTAATCTTACTTTTTCTTTTTAATTATATATAAAATAGACATGTATAACAATACATGGTAAAGACATTTCTTTTTTGTTTTGTTCCGATAAAACATGAAATTTTTTCAATTTTAGAAGAACTAAAATTATATTTTTTAGTTTCATCATATTTGAGTAAATCAATACAAAATTGTTGTATTCATTTATAATTTACTTTTTTTTATTTGAATTCCTTAAAAAAATATATATAAGTACTTCGTATATTACATTAAACTAAAAATCCATGCAATGTGCAATTACATTAGTAAATGTACATTAAACAGTATAAATTGATAATCAACATAATAGTTATATCACATTTTTATTTAAAAAGAGACAATAAATATTATGATATAATTATATATATAAATGAGCCCTATTTTAATGTGGGTCGGGTAGGAGTTAGATAAGTTGTGTAAGTCTATAAGCTAATTCTTCATAATTCAAATAATAATGTTTTTATTATTACTCCGGAAGAGTGAGTCTCTGCTTAGAAATAAACTTACTTAAACGAGAATTACATGGTAAAAGGTATCGAGTTTGAATTGAGAATTTTTTTCGAAAACACATCATTAACATAATGTAGTAGTATAAAGAACAAACAGTCCCATAATAGAAATAATAAATGGCCGATTTCTACTAAAATAATTGTCTTTTTTTACTTTCCGTATACTTTCCATATGCAAGAGAAGATTGCATACAAATGAATTTTTCACATACTTTGGCATACGTTGAGAAAGTGTCACCAGGATATGCTAAGTTTTTCTGTCTTTCTTCCTTTTTTTTCTTCAAAATCATACATAAAGTGACAATCTTTGGCGTCCCTCAAATAGTTTAACCAAGTCTTGTCAATTTACAACAAGAATAAATGTCGACAGCAGCTACAGTATACAAAATATGACGTGATATTAGAAGTTTGATCTTCCATTAGAACTGTACAAAAATAAATAATTTCATAAATAAAAAAGCAATTTCATGATCAGTGATGAAAGTTAAAAATACAAGTATTTAGTGCAAGAAAAATGTAACAAATTAATACCAATTAAGTTATGTAGTCTACAGTTTTGTTCTCAGTTCTTAGATAAAAGAAGTCTGTACAGATTACTAACCTTTGTTTATATTTACTATTGGCATCAGAAAGGAACATACAAGACCAAAGTTTCGTTTTGTGGCAGCCCGTCTTATCAATTCATAATGAAACATTAACTAACTCCCCCCATCTAACTTTTGTATCAAGGTTGTAAACTAATAGACTGAAACATGATTAATTCCATTTCAGCGTTGGAATAGAAAATGCAAATATAGGAAAATTTAAAATCCATTATATTGCCCTCCAACCAACCTTTAATTCAGAGGTAGTTGTGATTTCTGATCCATGCCTACACCTGTAGTAGAAAGAACATTAATTCATCAAATAACGTGAAACCTCTAAAGAGAAAAGGTACATAAAAGCAAAAAGGAAAAGAGCCACCGTATCAAGTTACTAGTTTTAAGAAATAGCAATCACATAAAAGCAAAAAGGAATAAAAAGAGACTAACATAGCAGGCTTGAAAAGTAACAAAATTAAGAGTTTCTCACTCTAGCTTCATTTTCCTGTTGACAAAATCCAGGTACCCCTAGAAAATAGCAACAAATAAGTGATGTAAACTAATCCAAATTATATATCTAAACAAAACATACAACCTAAAATGACAAAAAATCTAAACAAGATGTTTATGTAGTTCAGGTTAAACTTTAGAGTCCCTTGCAACTAAAATAGGGTCTATTTGTTCAATTGCAAAAATAAAAAATAACTTTTCAAATAAATCCAATTCCTATCAGAACCATGAAAACCAGACAGAATGTACTGGTGAGGTAGTGCATAATAGTCAGATAGCCATTCTAGTCGAGGATGTGAACCAACAATTGCAATCATGGAATCACTTATTCTTCAGTTCAAGGCTCTCATTGTCATACACATAGCTTATAAAGAGTTGTTTAAAAAAAAAAACAAATAAATCATTTCCTACTACAGAAAAAAATATACAAATCAATTTGAGGCATCACTAGCTTAGTACATTCTTATTATGCTTAGGCTCTGTTTGAACAAGCTTCTCCAAAAGCACATCTAGGAGAGAAAATTTAAGAAAAAATGAAATAAGTTACTTCATAAGCTAAAATTGGTTTATACATAAGTAATTTATAGAAACCCTCTCGTATAGTTTCTCCAAATTCTTATTTTTAACTTGTATATAAACTATGGGAAATGTCATTGCATTTTTTTTCTTCTTATTTTTCACATCTAAAATTACTTATAGACAAACGTGTTCAAATAGAACCTTATTACAATTGCAAATGAAAAGAAACATATTTCCTTCACCAAAATCAGTAACATAAGACGAGAAGCATAATATAGTAGATAATGTCAAGAAGCAGGACAAAGAACTCACCTGAAGTATTCCTACCGCTGCAAACTTGTCTAGAATAGTCTTGGAGAGAACTGGACGATTCAAATTTAAAGGCTTTAACAGCAATTCCACATTCTGCAAACAAAGTTTTAGTTCAGATTTTGTCTCATTTTTTGAGTTTATTTGCTGGATGAAATAGGTAACTTTATTATCAATGAGCCTCTATTTCAATCCAGTTTTTCAATATTCTTTTTTTCGTTAACTTAATCTTTATCCATATAGTTAACCACATTATTTTGTACTGGTATTCATGTAAATATTGTTCCTCCGCGTAGAAATGTTCATTTTCAACATACAATAGTTGTTTCACAATTCATAGTGTTTAGCTTTTTTCGAGTCAATCCTAGAAACTCCACAAGAGACAATCTCAATCAATTTCCAGTCTATATCCCTTGAAAGTTGCATAATAATAAGCTTAGTTATAGAGGCATAAGCTAACAAAATCCTAATCTTGTGTCTAATGATATATTTAAATAACTGATTCTAAGATAATCTAAAAATAAAATATTATAACCAACTAAAGAAATTGTATATCTGTTAAATAATATAATCAGTTGCCCATGATGGTGCACTTTTCATCTTTTTATTCTGTTGCTTTATTTTCTGAGGTCAAAACAATAGATATTTAATTCTTTCAACAGTGGTAATCAGTGACCAAACAAAGGAGAGGTTGTAGTCATTTTGAAAAAAGGACTTGAGATAAATGTAACTTCATTATGTTTCATAATAGCAATCATGTTAATCCACCTTTGATGTGAAGCACTCATTCCAATATGTATACTTTACTCCTTCAAGCATTTTTGTCCCACAGAGGTGATCAATAAAGACCTTCACTTGCACAGCCTGGAAAAAATTGTATGAGTATAGGAAACACAACAATACATGAATGGTCAATGACATGAAACTCACATCAGAAGCCACCCGATTTTTATCAAAAGGGAGGCCAATAACAAAGCCTTCCAAGGAATATTTAGAGATCTGCATAAAAAAAGAGCGGAAGTCATCATATCATGCTTGGGAGTATTATTGTTAACATCACTACGTTGTACCTGTAAATGATAAAAACAGATATATAAATATATCATATACATTCCCGTGTATATTAAACCAAGGGTCAGGCTAACTAACGTAAAAATAAAACATGGTACAAGTGAAAAAGGAAAGAGTTCTGTGATGTCACGAGAAAAGCAGGGAGGCAGAGTAAATATAAAACTGGATGTATGTACAGATATGGACATATAATTTTACAAAACAAGTAGTAACGCTGGTGGAGATAGCGTGCACTTCTGGTTAATTCAGGTTAAGAGGCTCAACAACTCAACTAGCATACTTTAAGAGCACATATAAGTTTAATTTGAATTTAAGGACAAAAGAAACTCACCAGGTTCTCAAAATCAGAAGCCATTAAACTAATATTTGTCTTCTTCCTAACAAGAACGCTGTGGCATTACAGATTGCAAGCTTATGCGTTATAGTATTACGAAACAAAAAAACGTTGTTTTTGGTAAGAATATGAAATAATGGCACCTGAAAGGTGAAGCAATTTTGTTGTCGAAGTCAGAAAGAGCAAGGCCAACATATTTATCCCCGACGTCCAAACCAAGCAACCTTCCGCGTTGCTTCCGGGTTGAATTCTTCAGATCATGAAATAATTGCAAGGGCTTCATGAACCTCATTTCATCTACATATAATTTCGGATTAGGGTAAACAAATAAATATAACCGAGTCTAGGGGTTTTTATTCTGAGAGCAAAAAATGTAACAAAATTTAAAATATAAAGGAAAGAAACCTGTTGAAGAAATGTGGTCGTAGTGAGTGACCTCTCCCTCTCTTCTCTTCCTTCAAGACTCAACGGAGTATGAACAAACCACCGACACTACAGGTTGAGGTTCTATGTCTTGTTTTCATTTTAAAGATTGCATATTTAAAAAAAAGAGAAGTGGATTTCTATTTATTTTAATGTATTTATGTAATATGTTTATTTTAAAAAATAAGTAGGTTTTTTAACAAATAAATCCTATTATTTTTCAAAAAAATTTATTATTTAAAATTATTTATTTTAAAAATACATATTTTTAATCTAATCAAATTTATATCTAATTAATGGAACCATAGGTATTAAAGCGGTTCTATATCCATATATTTTTATAATTATTATTTTTTAAAATATTATTTTATTTTATTTTTATTCTTTTAAATACATTTACTCTTTTTTCTCATATGTTTTATTATTTTTTGAATATATAAATTATATTTCTCTTTTAATTATAATATTTTTATTTATTAAAAAAATTATAAAACTTAAGGATCTAAATCTGGATTGACAAAAGAAAAACATCAAAGTTCTAATACCGTGTCAATATACCAATGTACCAAAAAAAAAGAAAAAATAATAGAGCCAATAAAACATGTCTTAATGCTACCAAAAACACATCTCATTAATCTCCTTTATATGTAATTATTAATAATATTAATTATATTGATTAATGAAATAATAATCCCTCCCAAGTTTCTGACAAATAACATCAGGTATTAATTAATCGGCTAATTACTAAATAATTGTTAAAGAGTTTTATTTAATTGTGAGATAAAATAGATTCTGAAATAACAATTTCACATGAAAATAATTTTTTTTTAAATTATATATTGATTTTTAAAATATTTTTAAAGTATAATTTAAAAATTTATATTTTTATTCTATAATATTTTAGATTATTTATTTTGAAATCTATATTTTTTTTATAATGTTATAGATGGATAACTCTTAAACAATAGCCAATTTTGTAAAATATAATTGGATAAAATATTCTTTTTATATGATAATTATAAAAATAACTTTGTCCTAAAAAATATTTTATCTAATTTTTATAATGGTTAACTTTATGTAATATAAATTATTAAATAATGTGTATAATAATGTATAAAAAAAATTTAATTTGATAAAAACTTATAATTAATAATAAATCTATAAGATCAAAATAGTGAGGTTTATAAATTTTTTCTCCATAAACCTTGAGCAATATATATAAAAATTATTTTCACATATATTATTATTGGGATATTTAAATTTATATATAAGAATATAAATTATTTAATATAAATTATTTAATAATTTAAGTAACATAAAAATAATTTTTTTAAAATAATAATAATTAAAAATTAATAAAATATAATATATGAATATTAATTAAATATTTATCATAATTATTATTTATATTATTCCTAAACATATTTTACTTTATAATCAAAGCTTTAAAAGTATGAGGTTAAGGTAGAAATGCTGGAAGTAAGAGCCTTCACTTAATGCATCAGGTCACGTCAAATCTTGAGGACACAGGCTGTAGCGCTCAAAACTGGACCATTTGTCATCGTATTCTCTCGGTTTTACTATTTTCACTATTCTTTAACTTCCTTTTTAATTGTCCTTTTCCACAAAAAGAATATATATATATATATATATATATATATATATATATATATAATTAAATCCCCTTGTATATAAGCCGGTTAACAAAATAAAAAACCAAAGATAGAATAAAAAGTAAGATAAGAGTATGGCAAGGATATTTGAAGAGTGGGAGTAAAAAAAGCTAGTGTAAGAAGGAAAAGTTAGGATTGTATGTTTTATTTTAAAAATGATATTTGTATATCAAAATATTAAATAATGATATGTTAGCATAATAATATAGTAAAAGATTTGAATTTTTGTTAAGAAAATAATATGGTATAAAAAGCTAGTGAGGGCGAACAAAATAATAAATCATTAATTTCGTTTATTAAAATATCAAACACTAAAATTAGAGATGTGAAGGGCGGGATATCTTGTCGTCTCGCTCCCTCGTAGTATCTTGGGTTTGTCCTATACACACAAGAAACACACAATGTTGGTGGTAGAGGAAAAAGAAAGTTTGTGGAGTGAGATTGAAATGGGTTTGGAAAGGGATAGAGAAGTAGGAATGAGTTTTGGAAGAGTCTAAAGGTTAGGATTTGGGATGGGTTTCATTTCTTGATTCTTTTTGCTTATTTAATCAAAATAATACTTAATTAATTAAGCTACCACTGATGAAGATGAATGATTCTTGCCAGTGTTTTATCTAATTTCCACCATAAAAACTAACTAAATTCAATCAAAACCTTGCTTACTTTTTTCAGCTTTATAAAACTACTAAACTACTGGTGGTTCCTAAGTTAATTCACGCATCTTTATCCTATTAAGTTCAGTCTTTAAATCAAATGCAAACGCCAAGAAACTAAATTGAATTTTCACATTAAGATGGGTTAAAAATGACCTAGATGACACCATAAAAATCAATTGAATCAATTTAATGACCAATGATTGTCTACGATGTTTAGCTATTGTTGTATGCAAAGAAATGGAGAAAGACTTCGAAGTTGAACACGTTTCTTAGCTGCTCTTCTGAAAGGCTTTCGATTTTGCCACTTTAGACATTCTATCCCACTCGAATACCTAAACTCACTATCCACATCCCTGGTAGCGAACATATTGCAAGTGACACTGGGCACGTCTCTCTTCTGTTTCTTTCTAGGGTTTGAATGCCTGGGAGACGGGGTTTTAGGCTCCTCAAATTTGCCACTAACTAATCTGCAAAGAACAACAGATAATCACTAAATGATAGCCTCCGGAAGAAATACAGGATAGAACCATTCTTCTTTCAGCCATTCAACCAGCTGAAACCTAACAAAGTTTATTAAGAAATGTTTATAATTTCTATAATGATGCAACAAAGGTGTTTTCCCGCTGACAATTAGAGTTGGCAACTAATAATTCCTTTAAAATGCTGGCTGTAAGATAATATTTTGAAATTTTCAAGCAATCACAAAGTGCGAATATAAAAACTACTCTCAAACTAATTAGAGATTAATACTATTAAACTGACCTGTCATGGTTTGAAGGTAATCCTTCTGTACATGGGTTACACGCGGGACAAATGTAGACCTCTCTTGTGCATGGTAATTTCATGCAATCGAAGTGATACCACTCATTACAATGACAACATGCAATCATCCTTTCCGGATCAAAGGGCTTTCGACAAATGCAATAAAGCATGCATCGTGCTCTTAACATCTGTTGGAAAAAAAATAATACTTGATTAGAATCTTACCAAAATCATGATGCAAATTAAAATGTCTCAATTTTACTAATAAAAAAATGAATAATCTCTTACCCTTAGTTCCTCGTTCGCATTAACAGGCAACTTTTCACCTTCAGCTACAAGTTCAAAAACTTTATCCAGGCTGAGTGCCCCAGAATCTGATGCCACCTGTTCATCATATTTAAAATTAAGTGTCAGCCTGAGCGATAAAGGACAGGGAAGAATCACCAAAAGACAAAAATAACCTTTTTGGCTAGTTCTGCCCACTGCGAACCTAAGCTATTCACATTTGTAATTTTCAACAGATAGTGATCTTCAGGTGATATGCCCATAGCCAGTCCCTGTCATGCACTTGGACATTTCAGCAGGTCCAAAGTTGTTTATATTGGCAATAAATTTTATAAAAGCAGAAAAGTGAATAAATACTAGAAATAAAAAGGGGGTAGGTCTAGCTTGTTTTTGCAACGCGCAGCAAAAAAAATATAAACCTAGGCAACAGCACATACCTCCTTTAGATGCTTCTGAATTTGTTGGATAGTGGGCTTTGGTAAACCATTTAACAATCTATTGACTTGAATTTTCCATAAGTTTTTTGCTAAAGTCAGCTCAAGATCACATGTATCGTGCTGATCATAGACAACAGTCACTTTGCAAGCCTATATTTAAAAAGCAAAATCAACTCAGTTGTAACAACCATGTTCCAGTTAATGAAATAATACAAGAAATAGACAGATAAAAATATACAGTACATGCCTTCACAGCTGTGGTCAATTTTTCAGCGACGATGCAAATATCTTCATCTACATTAGCTGATGCATGGATCACAATTTCTTTCAAGAAAGACTTGCATGAAAGGGCTTTCTCAACAAGTTGACTCAAAACATCTCTTTCATCAATCCTGCACATACAAGATACACAAGATAGAGGAATTACAAAATAATCATAAATCTACAGTGAGGATTGTTAAAGGTAGAGTAAAAAAGAGGTATATGGAACTGCTGATTCATGATTCTGTTGGCCTATACATTTAAACCTAGACACTATTTACATATTTTCCAACAAAGATGAAGTCCAAGACTCTTACAGAACACCAACCCCTACAAAATATAGAAAATAAGAGAACCAATAAAGAATCTACAGACATATATGTAGTTTCGTCAGAGTGGCAGTTTGCAGAGCTCATTCTAATAAAATCCAAAATGAACTTGACATTTCTCCTTTTTTTTTATAAAGAATTTATAAAAATCGTATTATAAGAAATATTAATATTCCCCTTGGGCATCCCACATACGTCTGAACTCTGCTCACATTGCATGCAACTTAGCTAATAAATAATTCCAATTCTGCTAGGGTCCAATCCTCAATGTTTTCCAGCATCTGCAGACAAACTACAGAACCAACCCTTTACTTCCCTCCTTACTCAAAAATATGGTCTACCCCACACCAATAGACCCATCAACAAAATATCTAATCATATATCCAAATAACCATAATTCATTCTTCCCACAAAACACCAGTACTTATATATATATATATATATATATATATATATATATATATATATATATATATATATATACAGTACAAGTATTTGTGCTTCTAACTTAAAACGGAGCCAGTCTTAGCATATTACATTTAAATGAATGGACCATTTAAAAAAAAACTGAAATCATCCGAAGCAAAAGTGGTCTTAGGAAATTGAGTAGAAAGAATGTTCAATTATCAGGGCGAGTTTTCCCAAAATTATAATAAATTTATGTACAGTTTGGAAAGGTGGCTTTTGACGTTGGTTGCTTCCACAGATGAAATGTTTTCAGGGAGCTTGCGACAATTGATTAGCCAAGCAAGCAAGGAGACTGTTGATAAACAAATTTTGGCAAAAAAATATTTTCTTTCTTTTAAAATTTCCCAACTATCCTTTTCTATTTTAAATTTGTAGCCATTTAAGTTATAATGTCTATTTTGTATATATACAGAAGATCAGCATTTGAAAATTCAATATGTCCAAACTGGGTCATGTAAGAACTTTCAATAAATATTATTGAAGAAAAATAAGGTCATGTATACATGCTGTACATAAAGATTTTACGAGAACCACATTACCATGAACAAAAATTTTCTGCATCAGACAAGAGTTCAGTAAGAACTTTCAATTCAACACCCTTCTTCTCAAACCTCTGCATAAAGCAAATGATTATGCGGACGAAATGAGTTTCTGAAAGACTGAGACACAAAAGAACACACTAGTTGACTGCTGTTAAAATGGCATAATATCCTACCAGGAGAGCACCTCTATTCTGATAATGGAAATCACCCCTCAGAATTTCACAATATGTGCACTGGAAGTTTTCAATGCCTACGTCTTTTTCTGTTAGTCCAGCACATCGCACATGATAGCTGTCCATATGAAAAATATTGAAGCATCCAACAAATTAATCAATGTATTTCTTAATAGTGAAACAAATTAATATAAGTTTGGAAACATAAATTCTTCAGACAGAATGACAATTATTTCCTTAATCAGAAAACCAACATTGTAGAGAGTAGAGCTTGAGTTTTTGACAGACACTGATGAAAAGGGAGGAATATCTTGTCAGAATGACAGTAGGGAAGGTTACGCGACCACTTGGAATTGAAGAACATATTTATTGGATACCAAAACAGTTCCATATTTTTTGGAACATGGCAGTGGATTTGTAACCCCATAGATCATGAACATGATGGTAAGGTAACTTTCAGTGCCATGTTGAAAATCTGTGGTTTTAGGTATTTGAGGGAAGAAGGTAAATTAATGACAATGAAACAAGAACCGATATTAACTTAAATGAATTACGATGTTGTTTGATTCGTACATAAAACCTATAACATGAACCCATATTTATGATAATCCTAACCATCTAGTTAGGGAAACAAATCCCAGCGGATAATCTAAGATATTTTCTTATTAATACTATTCCGCCGACATGAAGATTATAAGCTATGAGAAATGTTAGTTGTATATAGTACAACAATTTGTGTAGTGAAGAAAGAGAAATTTGAAACATTATTAATGATATGGAGTAATAGACACAAAAGTTGACACTGTACAAGTTATTGTATGAATTGTTGTATGTTATCACGTCTCATAAGCCACTGCCTGCTTTATAATTCAGAGCTATGAAAACCGTATCTTTGGAAACAAGACAAGAAGTACTTTACCGGTCCATACAAGTGGAACAAGTAAGAAATTCCTGATCTTCAGAATCATCAAAGCAGCAGATACATAGGTTTAGTTCCCTCAGATCTTGCAATTTGTCGTATATAAACAATGATCTATCTAGAGTCTGTTTTATCTGAAAATATCAAGCAATGTCCTGAGTATATGTGATACGCAAATGGATTATGCAAAGGAAAATAATGCAAAATCAAAACCTTCTCCAGTGCATGAAGTAGCGAATTTTCATTTTGGACTATGGTTCCTAGTTTATCCATGCATGTTTTCTTCCAATTTTCCACCTTCTTAACTTCAGATAAAATCAAATCCAGTTCGGAACAACTAAAGGCAATGGTATCTCCATATTCCTGAATGTAAGAAAATAATGTCAGTGCTATGCAAGTCCTAATAAAATAGGAATATGTGGTAAAGGCTCCACAACTAGCAAGAAAGTTTTCCCTTTTCCAATCATAGTATTCACAACCAATGAACAAAAAAGCTTGATACTCCATGGAAACTAGGAAAATACACAGAATTAAAAATAATTGAGAGAAAACGCTTAAAAAGAAAAGTACTTCAAAATATAATGTACACGCTACGAAGGAAATCAAAACAAACCTTAAGCCTTTAAGTAAATCTACAAGAGAAAACGAAGAAAGTGAACTACCCCACAAACAATTTATACAATATACGAGGAATATCATGACCACAGTGATCAGAGCTTTTTTTACAAAAGATTCAGAAACTTATCGACACACATAAAGGCCACCTGCTACACAACAAGAAAATTTTACCTTGAGTTGTAATATTGAAGACCAAGATCGTTCTCTAGGATTTAGACCAAAAAATTGGCACACTTGCTCTTGCCACAACCTAAATAGATATAAAATACAATTAAGCAAATAAAATATTTAAACAAAAATGATTGTAAAAGAAACAGTCTTCATCCACACCGACCAGTGTTCTACATGATTAAGCAATATATTATTTACCAAGACGACGCATGGAGGGATACTGATATTGAAAGGTATAGAATCAAATTGAAAATGGTAATAACTAAAATACAAGCCTATAAAAGAATTCAGAAGTGCAAAACCTAAATATCTACAAATTTATTTGAAACATTAATGAAGAGGGAAGACAATAAAAATTACCAAGAATAGAAGAGATCAACATAAAAACCGCATAAGGGTAAATTGCCATTTAGAAGTCTATAAACAAATCAAACAAATTAACATAAAGGATAATCTTGTTTATACAACAAACAAATTAAACTTACTTATGTTTTCCAATTGCATCTTCAAGTTGACAATTTACTTCTGTAAAGGTCATATTAATAGTCTGCAGAAAAAAGGTTGTAGATGTAAGTTGTATGTGCCAAGGCAATTTTTTTCAACCACGGCAACGAAAAGTTTTCAACACAACTTTTTTTCTCTCTCCCAATTTCCTTAAATCGATCAGCAAATTTGTTAGAGTCCATACAATGAGGTCGTAAATTTAATTTAATAATAAAGAACATACACTAAAATAAAATTAGTTGAGATAACAATCACTTTATCTCCGATGGAAAAAGATATTTTCTGACAAGACAAGACTATAGCTTGGGGGAAAGGAGAAAAAAAAGACATGTAACCAGAAGAAACTGAAAATAAAATATTGAGAAAATAACACAGTTTCAGTCTGTCTCAGTAAAGGAACCATACACTAAAATAAAATTAGTTCAGATAAGAACCACTTTATCTTCTATGGAAAAAGACATTTTATAACAAGACAAAAATATAGCTTAGGGAAGGATAAAACAAAACACATAAAATCAGAAAATATCGAGAATACAACACAAATTGTGGCCTGAATTGAATAAGGCCAATTTGGACCAATCCATTTAGATTATGGCCTATACAGGCTTAGACCAAGACAATCCATTTTATAAAATCATAATTATTTTTTATATAAAACTAAAAGTAATATTATTTTATCAATATGTATTCATATGTTATAAATTAATTTGAGAAGCAATCCATTTTTATTTCAAGAGTAAGTGTTAAAACGAAATATTACTTTGTATCATTATATCACTAAAAAACTGAAGAGTGAGGATCTAGGACAGGTCTCTAACTCTTATCGTTGAAGTGAATGAAT